AAATTTTTTAGCATCATGTATAACAAAATTTCCCTTTATTTCATGCTTGGAAGATCAATAATCAAATAATAACACTCAAGTGTAACACAAGGCTGGGTCTATAGAAATTAATTTTTTCTCCTGGCTGGCTGTTGATACGAAAATATTTATTTCACCTTTGCTCAGTCCTTCTTAATATATTTTAAGTATTTAAACTCTCTTCTCTTATTCAGATTTATGTATTTCCTTTAAGATGTAAATTAATAAACTGACCCATGTGTACCTGTGTGCTGGCAGCGCACAAAAGAATATCACAGATTTACTGACACCTCTGAGAACTGCAGGAAGAGACACCAAACCCATATTGCTCCAACAAAAAAGTTTTCTATTTTCTGAACCCCACCCCAAAATAATTGCAGTGTTCTCGAACGTCCTTCTGCAGTGTCCTACAGCTCCACCAGGCAGAGCAGGGTATTGACAAGGCAATCACACCTAAGGGGAGCATTTATCTAGGCTCTGAAATCCTCAGAACTAACACATGCTCTGGAAATTTGATTTTCTCCATAACAGTAGTACAGCTGGATTGACAGAACCAACTGTGTGTTAATAAAGCAGATGGACCTTCAAATATCCAGCACACAAAAACCAGCCTGTGGACATGTCCTGCAGATAAAACCCCTCAGAGTGTTATTTCCAAGCTGGGAGTGGGATATAAATTCTCAAATTGAGGTCTAAAGATGTCATATGTGAATAATCTATGAAGGACTAACTCAGCCCTCCTGACAATAACAGATTCAAAGGCAGAAATATCCTCAAAATCACATTGGAGGCTTTCAGGAAAGAGTTGAGGAGTAAAGATTGAGAACACTTGCATTCTTCCTTCCTCTTGTGAATGTATTATAGATGAATGTCAGCCTCCAGCAAATCAATCATAGCACCATTCACATGGTTTAGATTGATATAAGAACACCTAAAAGTTATTTTTAAAGGGCAATGTGGAGTCAAGCTCTGCAGGTTATACCATGAAAAATCAAGGCAAAAATGAAACGCCTGTGCCACAAGGGAGAATATTTCTGCTTGCTGAGGCTTCACCTTTCTTTTGGCAATAGGACAAAATAGATCAAAGAATATCTAAGTTTATATTAATCCTATTAGGTTGCATGGAAGAGTTCTCATTGTTATCTATAGATCATTAACAACGCTGAGTTCATGATCGTTACTTTTATAAACAGCCACATTTCAATTATTTATCATGAGCACTGGGGAGCATCAGAAGTGTCTTAATGCTGAAAGTGACTTTGGATTTGGTGTAGCTCCATTTCAGATGAATGAAAATACAATTAATCTTATTTTAAATATCCTTCTGTATTATTCTGAAGATGTTCTTGCAGCCCATGCTCCATCTCTGTGCTACAGCAGAATGAAATAACTCCAGACCAAGTACAGATATTGCCTACAGTCACACCCCTACATGCTCTCCAACTCACCATCCCCTGAACAGAAGAGAAAATATTAGAATAATTACTGTATATTAATTGATTTTCATCTTCCTGTTGCCCTGATTTCTTTAAGATTTTCTAAGCCTTCTGATGTTTTCATTCTTGTAGCAAACTTTCTCACACACTTTCTGTAAATAACTCATTGTTTTACATTCCTTTATGGAGGAGGAGAAATTTGATGGACTGTTGGTTTGTCCAGTGTCATTGGAGAGGTGGCACTGTCACCCTCCAATCCACTGTCACTTTTGGCAATCTATAAATGTTGGAGTCAGAAATTAAACTTCCCTTTTTTCTTCACCTTGAGAACAGCGGTGTGAGCTTGTGCTCTTTCATGTCCTACAGCGACATCTTCCCAATTTGGAAGGACCATAATAAAAACCAGAGAACTGCAGAACAGAAACTGTCAGGTTGATGGGATAAGGGGTTCAGCTATTCCTGCCCAGAGAAAGCTCTGAATAGCAGAGCTCTATAGGAAGGGGTGAGGGGAATCCAGACTCCTCTCAGGAGCTGCTCAGCCCCATCTGAGGCAGGCTGGGAGATGAAGGATCCAGGATCCATGGTCACATCCACCAGGGAGGCCAGGAGAAGGCTTCCCACCAGGATTCCCACTGGGCAGGGCCCTGTGCACATCTCACTGCTGGGCAGGGAGGTTGCTCAGCCCTTGGTCTCAAACCTGGGCTTGCCTTAATGCCTCCAGCAACTGGGCAGAGCATGGCAGCCCACCAAGAGGGAATTCATGAGGGACATAAACCCCACACAACCATAAGGTAGAACACCTAACCAGGCAACAGCAAAGAGTATTTGATCTCAGCTGAATGAATAAAACACACTGAGGAGGAAAAACCACCTCGTTCTTGTGTATTGTGGGTGCCCAAAAGCAGTTCACAATAGGTTACTCATGTTATTTCCCACTGAGGGAATGGGACCCATTTCTGGAAATGGTATTTTGAGAGAATTTCACAAATAGGGTAGTGTGCAGAACAGACTAAAGAAAAGGGAAGAGGATAGGAAAATTGAAGCTTGAAATAACTGGATTTATTAAGGTTATCCTGAGAACAGTCTGGATGGTTCTACAGGGGAAGAATTCTGAGCTTGTCAGAGTTAATAAAAAGCTAAAATTCTCCCCAAGAGTCCCTCCCCCTTATTCCTCCTGCCCTTCTGCTTTTCATACACACATCTGTAAGTCAATGAAATGGACTCATTATAGGAAATAATTTTATCACTTAGATGTGGCATGTAAATATTGCACTTTCTGCAAACATGTGTAATAGGCTACGATGCAATTAAAGAAATCACAGTGAAAATTTATAAAAAAATCTCTACCAATTTTATGTACAGATGCATTTGCTGGAAAAGACATTATTCACTGAATGCAGTTAAAGTGCAGTAAATCGACTTTGAGAAAAATCACAAGACTTTTCAATAAAAAGACAAAATAGCAACACTGCTAAGACAGCAGGTGGTAAAACGAGATACAGGAATGTTCCCCCATATAAAGAAATAAAACAAAACAAAGCTGTGTGATTTTACTGCTCTTTTCCAGCAGAAAAAAAACATCACTAAAGGACTCAGAAAATAGGCTCCTACATTTGCTCATATGGAGTACCAGAGATTGAAAGGCAAACTTTGAAATACATTACTCAGAAAAAAACAGAGAAGGGATGCTGCTTACTCTTAAAGAATGGATTTTTTTTTTTTTCATTTGAACTTGTCCACACAATTTGGGGCCAAGCCACAACACAGCTGGGGGACCACCAGCTGATATAGGATATTTAATTAAATACAGTAGTTTGCATCTGGAGCAATTTGCTCCTGAATACTTAGTGGGCATCCTTCAAAAGCATAAAGAACCTGTCAGTGAGATACAGAAACCCAAAATGAAAGCAACCCATTATGAAAGGGGGAACTATGGTGTTTTTAAAATAACACCCATGGGAAAAAACTTCTCTTGTGAAAACTGGAAGTTAAAGCTTGAAGATCCCACAGGGAGGTAATGAACACCTGCTGGACTTCCCTGCAAGGCAGGACCCACTGTTTTTATAAGTGATTCCAATTGCTGCTGTCAGCAGATGAGCCTGGCAGGATGAGTAGTGGCAGCAACAGGTAAGGCAGTGTGGGCTCAGAATGGAAATTTGTTCATCTGTGCTGGTGCTTTGCACCAAACACAACTTCACTGAGATGGAAGAGAGTGATGAGTACAGAACTCAAATCAGGGTTACCTGCAGGTAACCTCAGGTAACCACAGGTAACCACAAATCACTTTACCTGCAGGTAAAGTGTCTCACATCAGCATGTCACCATCAGCATGTCACCATGGAGAGCAGGACCCAGCTCAGGCAGCAAGGTTCCCTGCAAGGTGCCCACTCTATGCCATGGGTGCCTGGGCAGCTTCCTGCCCCTAAATGACCAGGGAAGGGATGGCACCCCTGTGCATGTCACTGGTGAGGTCACTCCTTGAGTCCTCTGTCCAGTTCTGGGCCCCTCACTGCAAGAAAGACCTTGAGGAGCTGGAGAGTGCCCAGAGAAGAGAATGGAGCTGGGCAAGGGGCTGGAGACTCAGTCATGTGAGGAGCAGCTGGAGCTGTTTAACCTGGGGAAGAGGAGGCTCAGGGGAACCTTCTCCCTCTCCACAACTCCCTGACAGGAGGGGGCAGGCAGGGGAGAGTCAGGCTTTGTTCCCACATGGGACAGGACAAGAGGAAACAGACTCAAGATGTGCCAGGGGAGGTTCAGGCTGGACATCAGGAGGAATTTCTTTGCAGAAAGGGTGGTCAGGCAATGGAAGGAGCTGCCCACAGAGGAGGTGGAGTCACCATCCCTGGAGTTCTTCAGGAAATGACTGCAGATGGCACTCAGTGCTCTGGGCTGGTTGATAAGGTGGGGAGTGGTAAAAGGTTGGACTCTATGGTCTTGGAGGTCTTTTCCAACCTTAATGATTCTGTGATCTGTAAATCCTCTACTCTGCAGCAGGATCTGCTTGTCTGTGCTAGCAAAGCCTCACTAAATCAAAATTCCTTTTTTCTGGACTTCATTGCACAGCCAGCCCAGCAGCACAGCTGGATTATGAATGAGAAGTGAGAAGTGTGTAATCCAGAAACTGAGCAAATACCTCCACAAGCATTAAAGACAAGACAGGCACTCCTAGAATAGTTACCAGCAGGCCCTGTTCATCATGGAAGAGGGGGCAGGATGGAGACCTGGAGCCTCCTCCACCCTCATGTGGGGATCTTCAGTCTCCAGCTCCACATCCCGCTGTGCTCCAGCACTGCAAAGGCATCTGAAGTGATGCTGAGAGGGTAATAACCCCAACAGTGCCTGCAGCAATCCTTCCTGGAGGTTAACAGCGGGAGGCAAGCAGGCTGAAGCATTCATGAAAGCAGAGTGTGAAAAGCAGAATCAACAGCTGAGTTGGCCTTTTAGTCAGCGCCTGCTTTCAGCAGCTCCATTATCAGAGGAGAATGAGAGAGGAGTGCGGGAGGAAGGAGAGGAGGGAAGTGTGAAGAGAAAAGACAAAACACCCACCTGACAGGTGCTCCCCGGGACTGAGCAGGTTTCAGCATGACAGTGATGGTGGTGTCAGTCTCGTTGAGGGGTGAGTCCGTGTCGTACTCCGGCATGGACGGGGCTGCAGCAGAGCAAAGAACGACTTCATTAGGCACCTGCCCTTGGTAGGGATGGCAATGGAATGGTATATAAAGTGTTATATTAACATTTGTCACATGAACTATCAAAATACTTCCCAGTCTTATGACCAGAATGATCAAAACTGCTTTAATATTTGTAAGAGCCGAAATGAGAGATGTAGGACTCCAGGGGCTCTCCAAAATGCAGTTTATTGTATACAAAACGCAGTTTATTACATCCAAGAGGTTACAGCAGTCCAGGGTCGTGGGTGACAGAGGCTGTGCCTACAGCTGTCAGCTGCAGCTACAGGCAGCCCTGGAGACCCTTTGGTTTTGGTTACAATGCATTATAGACTTTTCTTTGGTTCTACTGTATTAAGATGCTCAGCAATCTATACCTGAACTTTTATCTATAGCCTATCATAACTACTGTAATTACCATATTCATGTTACTGTTCTCCAATCACTAACAGTCAGTACATTGCAATTCAAGCTAGAAGTTGTTTTTCAGTTTTCTTGCAGTGGAAAATTCTGAGACCTTTTTTCTACTTGCCACATTTGCTGCCTTGTTTGCCTGTGCTCTCTTCCTGCTTGGTAAAAACATCTTCTTGTTTGGGGTGGGTTTATCCTTTGCTCTAAGCCATAAAAACCCCTTCTAACACACACACCCTTTGCCTCCTTGGTTAGCCAGTGAGACTGGCTCAGCAATTCTTTTCTTCTATATCAAAACTTGCTTCCATCTCTATTCCTTCATCAGACTCTACATTCAAAAACTTTTCTCCTAAGCACACATATCTGTGAGACTTCCTTGTCAAACTTCCATCCTTCCCAACAAATATTTGTACACTCTTTCTCCATTCCAATTAAACACCAATCAGGCAATCTTCAAGCTGGTTCTGGAAAATCTCATCTCGAATTTTTAAGACTTTGTAAGGCCTTGAGGTGAGGAAAGGAAACTGCACAGACACTAGAAAGAAACCCAAACTATTAGGATGAGTAAATCAGTGGCAGAGCTAAAAGTATCCCTGAATCTTTTTTCCTGCTATGGTCAGTGGATTTGCCCTCTCACATTTTAAGAGATTTTAATGCACATGCTTAAGCTGTGTCCCTTTGATTAGCTGGAGGGTGAGCTAGGTAACACAAAAGATGAAAAGAGAGGAGCACAAATTAGCCAGGTTATTTTTTGCACCCAAACCCAGGACATTTTACCCTGGTGTTTAAGTGCAGCTGACTCACCAGGCAGCTGCAGAGATCCCAGTGCCACCCTGGGGCAATGTCCAGCCATCCCCATATCCCTGATGTGTTCCCCCCAGCAATACAGAAACCCACTGAATAAAAACCCACTCAGCCAAACTCTACTTTTTCCTTCTGCTTTGTCATCTTCTCTTAGGACCATTCCATGAAAGTAGAACAGCTTTCCTTAGGAAATATATTTCACTCATTACTTCTTCCTTCCCCAGGAGCAGGCAACTGTTTGGGACAAGTTTTACTGCTGAAAACCTGAAGAGACCATGAGGTCAGAGCAGAACCAAATTTGTTCCAAAGATGCAGGTTTTGCTGAAATAAATTTAAAGTATAAAGCAACCAGAAGAATTCACACAAGTTCATCTGTAGCTCACAAGGGCAAGCTGCATTGTGGGGGATCCCATATTTAATCCTCTCATAGTGATTTCCACTGTAATCCTGTTTACAATCAGGATTTTTATCTAAATGCCTGAAAACTGTCAAGAATGGGGGCTGCTATTATCAGCTCAGCTGCTGGCTTCCCTGTCAATAAGCTGGGAATGCATTCAGAGTGAATGTCAACTGCTTAAGAAGGATTTCTCTGGAATAAGGTGCTCTCCATCAAGGGGAAGCAGTGACTCCTTGAAAGGAGACACATCCCCAGTGGTCCTCCACACCAGAGGTCACTGGAGATGCTGGAGATCACAGAATGGTTTGGGTTGGAAGGGATCTTAAAGATCATCCAGGCCCACCCTGCCATGGCAGGGACACCTCCCACTGTCCCAGGCTGCTCCCAGCCCTGTCCAGCCTGGCCTTGGGCACTGCCAGGGATGCAGGGGCAGCCCCAGCTGCTCTGGGCACCCTGTGCCAGGGCCTGCCCACCCTCACAGGGAAGGATTTCCTCCTAACATCCCACCTGCCCTCTAACAGGCTAAAACCATTCCCTGGTCCTGTCATTCCAGGTCCTTGTCTAAAGTCTCTCTCAGCTCTCCTGGAGCCCCTCCAGGTATTACTGTAGAGGGCTGCAATGAGGTCACCCCAGAGCCTCCTCCCCTCCAGGGAATCAACCCCAGCTCTCCCAGCCTGGCTCAGGGCAGAGGGGCTCCAGCCCTTGGAGCATCCCCATGACCTCCTCTGGACTGCATCCAACAGCTCCATGTCCTTCCTGTGCTGAGCACTCCAGAGCTGGATGCAGAGCTCCTGGTGAGGTCTCATGAGGGTGGAGGAAAGGAGAAAAATCCCCTCCCTCAACCTGCTGGCCTTGGTGGCACAGCAGGAATCGCTGAGCCCCTGCTCTGGCCAGAGTGCATGGTGCTACAGCACAACTTAATGCACCCATAGAAACAAACACACACACACTGCTGCAGCACAGCTGTCTTCCCATGTAAGAAACAAAAAAAAATGCAGCCTCACAAGGACATTCCTGTCAGAGCAAAAATCCTCCTTCTCCCTAATAACCTCAAGGCTTCCTCTTAGAGCAAACTTAATGGTAATTTTCAAATTATTTGGAAAATGTATCAGAAGCTTGACCATGCAGTGAGAGAATCTAATGTCAGAGGCTACCCTCATGCTTGCATGGAGTTTGTACCCACCTATTGAGAGCCAGATATCTGGGAGATGGGGGGAAAAAAGTCAATAAACCAAGCCCAGTATGCACATAGTTGGCACTCATGCAGGCTGCTAACACAATTTGAGCACTTAGGGGATGATAAAAAAGGAAAGAAACTGAAACAGAGGAGAAAAGACCCCCAGAACATTGCTGTGGTTGTTTATTTCTCTGGTCACAAGGGAATGGAGTGCAAGCTGTGCTGTCCCTTCACAGCAGGGCTGCAGAACCACCAACAGCCCATGGAGCTGTTTGGACATTTAATGGCTTTAACTCCAAATGGTTCAGGGCTTGAGTGCTAAATGTGAAGGTTCAAACCCTGAGCAGAGGGAGGAGATGTGCTTTGCTTCCTTAAAATTTACCCTGTCACTTACTGCTCACAACTTGCTATTATTAACTGATTTTGAAAGAGGGCAGTGGAAAATCTATACTGTAGTGCAATCTTTTCTACAATAACCAGCCATAATTTCAAGCATTACCAGTGTCCTGAATGTTCCAGATGTGTATTTTGACTTAACTGAAAAAAATTGTTAAAATAGTCCAAAAAAAAGCCAGCTTTTCTCTCTGTTAGAAAACCTATTTTAGTGCTATCAACTAAATGTTAAAATCCACATCTATCTGCCAAATATCCATTTTTTTATAACTGCCCTGTTTCCACTTTTTTTTCCAAGCCTTCTTTTTGCCATTGCCTCTTTATTTTAGTGTCTTTCATATTCTTATGTGCCTCAAGCCCTCTCTCTGCTCTTACCCATTAAAAAACCCAAGAAAAAACAGCTTTCCTCCCTTATTTTTAGTCTCTTTGCACTATTAATTCCATTACTTCATTAGATCCATTTTGGTACATCTTGAAAATAAAAACCACACTACAGAAAGAGTTTCCCCAGCCAGCCAGATAATGCTAACAATAATTACAATAAGGGTAGTTCATTTGTGCAACTGATGATGGTTCTCATTTAAAATGCTCGACAGATATCCAGGGATACCTAGGACAGCCACAAATTAACCCCTGTAATTGTAACCCAAATAAAGGTCTGTGGCTGCTTCAAAACTGTGCCCTATGAAGCTTGGAGAAACATTAAGCAGAGTATTTTTAATAATTTTATGCTCCAGCTTTGAGTCTAAAGCACAACGCCCTAGATTTATTTTTTTTTTCCTTCTTCTCCAAAGCAGTACCTGAGATCTTGGTTGCAATCCTGGTGGTGATGGGTGGCCCAAAGCCCTTGACCGTGCTGGCTTTGATGGTGAACGAGTAGGTGGTGCCTGGGTACAATCCCACAAAGAGGTGATGGGTTTCATTGCGCAGCTTGAAGACTTTCCCTCTCTGGCTGGACAGGTCAGCACTGGGATCCAGAGACCCAACGGCCTTGTATGTGATCTGCAAATGAAGAACAAGGACAGGAGGTGATCAGGGGGCCTCCTGCACTGGCCTCCCCCTGCTCTGTCACCTCTCAAGGCAGAATGCAAACACAAGGAATTTTTTCAGGGTTATTTCTGTATCTCCCATGAGCCGTTTTGCATTCGGGTGCTGTCAAACCAACATGAGAATTTTTCCAAGGTTTCACTTAGGGAAAAACTAATTTCCTCTCTCAGCTAAAGCCTCAGCATGTGCTGACTTACAACAAAAGATGTAAAGAGTTGCTTTATGTTCCCAAGTGTCACTATAGGACATGAAATAACATGACGTGGACATGCAGCTCTCTCAAGGTAAAATGAGAGTTTTTAATTTCTGACTCCAACATTTATAGATTTCCAAAAGTGACAGTGGATTAGTGTCACAGACACATTTTATGAAAAATTCTTTCCTTAGGATTTTTTCTCCTGAAAAGCCTCAGAAACAAAATGTAACCAATGGTCATCTGCTGCTGTGGAATGCAACAGGTGCATCTTTGATTGGTCCATATTGGTTGTTTTTAATTAATGGCCAATCACAGTCCTGCTGTCTCAGACTCTCTGGTCAGTCACAAGATTTTATTATCATTCCATTCTCTCCTTTCCTTGCTAGCCTTCTGCTGAAATCCTTTCTTCTATTCTTTTAGTATAGTTTTAATACAACATATATATCATAAAATAATAAATCAGCCTTCTGAAACATGGAGTCAAGATTCTCATCTCTTCCCTCTTCCTGGGACCCCTATGAACACCACCACAGACTGGAGGGTGACAGTGCCACCTCTCCAATGACACTGGACAAACCAACAGTCCATCAAATTTCTCCTCCTCCATAAAAGAATATAAAACATAAGTTATTTACAGAAAGTGCATGAGAAAGTTCGTTACAAGAATGTAAACATCAGAAGGCTTAGAAAAATTTTAAAAATCAGGGCAACATCCAAGCTCAGAACTTCTGTCATCAAACCAGAGCACACAGCATGGCTGGCAGGATTTTCATATGCAAATCACCCATGCAAGCCCCCACAGCTCATGAAAACCCTCAGTGCAAACATGGATACGTTTCCTTTTGGCAAATCATCTCCTCAAAAGGCAGCTGAAAACAATGGAAGCCTTTTTCTGACCAAAAAAGCTTTGGAGGCCTTTTCTTACAGAGGATATGCTGAACTGAAATAATATGTTTAAATGAAACAAAGCTCACCACATCTTTAGACAAAAGCCCTTCTCTCTGTGGAGACCAGCTTCTGCTGTGCTGTCCCTGCCCTCATGCTGAGCCTCAGAGTGCAGATTTACACATGGTGCAGTCTGGTTTACACCTGGTTGAAGCCAGGAGTGCTCCAGACCTGGAGGTGTAGGAATGTCCCCCCTGTTGACAGAGTGACAAAACTCTCCTTTGTCTCCTTAAACAGGAAAAAAAAGCCCAGAAGTTTCTCTCCTGGATCAGGTAAAAAGGCACCTCATAGGCCTGGAGGATTTCACCTCAAACTTAAGGATGGCCAATTGGACAGGAGCCAAGAAGTCCCACCTGGGCCATTTACTAGAAAAAGAAGAGAACAAAGAAACCAATTGCTTTGGTGAGGTGTTTTACCTAGAGCAAGAACCTCTTGCACCTGGCTCAGTTTTTCTCTGTAAAGTTCTGTTATTTTGCCTTTTATTAAAACTTTTTTGTTTCCAACACTGCCACAGAAGCCATTCTGCCTTCTAAGGTAGCTGAGCTATCTTGGGTGTGAAATAGACTTCCAAAAGCTTATAGGAGACCATATTTCATGGAGGGATGCCCTGAGTACACCTGGAGCTGGTGCCAGCACACCTTGAAACCTGCCTGAGCTCAGCAGGCTCACCCATGGCAACCCTCCTGCTGTACAGACACTTCAATGGAAGCTCATGACTTATTTACCAGCCAATTCCTTGCCTGAGTTCCAAATCCAATCCCAAGGCAGCTCAATTTCAGCAGAGCTGTCAATATAATGTACCATGCTCTGCTGCTCTCCTAACCTTTTTTGATATTATGGGATCCTCACTTATTTGTAATGAAACACTATGAATAAATCAATGTATGTTAATACATGAGGTCTTAAATTTTTTATTAAGGTCTCCACCAGAATCTAATTCCCAGCCTTTCTGAAAGAGCCTTTGAAAATCTTTAAGTCACTTGGTTTATGACAGGAGGAAAATGCTGCGTTTTGAGGAAAAATAAATATCCAGTGTTTAAAAAGGGAGGCTTCAATAATAACAGGATAAATAAGAGACCAAGACTGATGTTACTGACACCAGAGAAGGGTGAGAGCATGTGAATCCTGTTATTTGGACAGAGAAGAACATTTAGACAGAGCTGACATCCAAGATAAGGCAGTGTAACAGAGAAAGGGCATGAATTAGACCAGCAGCAAGAAAGTACAGAAGCAGAACTCTTAAAGGAATTATAATTAAACAGCTTGCAGGTGATTTCATTGAAAACCAGCTAATTTTTCCAGGAATTACAATCTGGGTTTAATTTTTTATGTCATGCCAGACACCTGAGAAAGAGAGACCTTGGAGCACAATGGTTCTTAAAACAAACAAAAAATTAAAAACAGGAGGAAAATCTCTCCACCCACTGCTTTTCCCTCAGGGAGTCAAGAACCAGCATGGTATGGGACAGTATTCTGAGAGCTCTGATTGCATCAAGGCACTTCAAGGCAAGGGAATTTGTAAGACCATTGGAATTAAATTGGGAAACAAATACTTAAATCAAGAGCCATGAGCGTGTCCATGCCATAGCTAAACTCCAGAAAGAAAAATGCATTTAATTTAATGTTATGTAGGAATGAGCCCATGCAATCTTGTATGCCCTGATGGCACATCTAGAGCTAGAATAATAGAAATTCTATAAAACTACAAATGGGAATCAGCAAAATAGGAATTGGGGGAGAAGAAAAGGAACTTCCCACACCTGGGGCACTGAACAGCACATTCACAGGATGCCCGGGTCAGGCAGTGGCCTATGCAAAATCAGTGGTATTTATTTTCAAGCACATTATACTGAAGGTTATAAATACAGTGAAAGATGCACTTGTCCTTGATCTCCATCCATATAAATAAATGTATTCTGCTACCTTCAGCAGTTCTAAAATCATTACAGAAACAGTTATTTTTCCTTATTAAAAAAACCCCTATCCCCTTAAGGCAAAAGAGCTACAAAAGCTTTGAAAAAGAAAAAAAACACTAAAGAAAAAAAACTCAGTGATTTAAAAACAAGCAAACAAACCCAGTCTTTATTTTTCTGTTGACTGTAGCAGAGAAAGACTACAAGAGACCTTAAAACAACCTGGGTCAACTGACAAGTAGCAGAGAAGGAGGCAAGAACACTTGAGACAATGTCCCCAATTTGATATTGTAGTGTGGGTCAATTTTCAGAGCAACTGCTCACTCAAATCAGACTTCAGGATTTCCCAGGGCTCTTTTCAGGATATATAAACTCCAGCAGAGAGGTTTGTGGCACAGCCAAATGTGAGTTTACCTTTTCTGCAGCAGAGTCTCTCCCAGTAGACACAGACCTTGTTAAACCAGGTGATGTGGGGACATTCAGAGCCACCCTTGTCCCCAAAACTGAACATTTGACTTTAACACATTAACAGTACCTGGATGCAGCACAGAGAACAGAAACATAGAGCAAAGCTGTGCATGTGTCCAGGGTCACCTGTAGCCATGATATTTTCTGAAAAATCCCTTTACTGGGATTTTTCTCCTGAGAAGCTGAGAGGCCTGAGGAACAAAATGTAAACAATGATTATCTGCTGCTGTGGAATGCAACCAGTGCATCTTTGATTAGCCCATGTTAGTTGTTTCTAATTAATGGCCAATCACAGTCAGCTGGCTTGGATTCTCTGAGACTCAGAAGCTTTGTTATCATTCCATTCTTTTTCCTTTACATGCAAGCCTTCTGATGAAATCCTTTCTTCTATTCTTTTAGTATAGTTTGAATATATCATTTTAATATAGTAGATATCATAAAATAATAAACCAACCTTCTGAAACAAAGTCAGGTCCTCATCTCTTCCCTGTTCCTGGAACCCCTGTAAACACCACCACAGTAACCCAGTCCAGCAGCAGAAATATTTAGGGGCTGATAAATGCAAATGGTTCAGAAACAGCAACCAATCCTTGCTCTCATCAGGGTTGAGCTCTTCTCTGCTTCCCTCGAGGAGGGCTCTGAGTGACTGGAGTGGGCAGGAAAGGGCACACAGACACTGCCAGGAGAGCCCCTGGGCTAAAGGCAACTGTTCCAGACTGCAATGCAAGATGTGTTCTATCACCATCCTATGGCAGATTATCTTTGTCAAGTAGGCAGTTTGCCTTATCTCTCTCTGTGAGTGACCACACCCACTCCTCCCTCAGGGGGACACCTGCTGATAACAGCTATGGAATGTCCCTGCATGGCTGATAAGAACTACAGCATCCCATTGGCAGATGGGAGCCCAGAGGGAGGAGCCAAGCATTCCTGCCTGGATAGAATCCAGAGGTTTTGAGACACCAGCACAGCTTTCCCCCCTGGATTCCCCAGAGGAACAGCAGCTGCCTCTTCTCCCAATGGATCTTCAGAGGAAGAATCCATCCTTCACTACAGGATCCCTGCTCCAGCAGAACCAGCCCTGGCACTGCAGGAGGGCTGAGCCACAATTCCAATGGGACTGCTGCCAACAGCCTGACCCACAGGGTGTCAGGCTGGGTTCTGACTCTGGCAGTGTTGTTTTGGTTCACTGCATTGTTTATTTTATCCTTTTATTTTTCTTCCCTATTAAAGAACTGTTATTTCCTGCTCCCATATTTTTGCCTGAGAGCCCCTTAATTTAAAATTGATAGCAATTCAGAGGGGTGGGGAGGGTTTACATTCTCCATTTCTGGGGAGGCTCCTGCCTTCCTTAGCAGACTCCTGTCTTTCCAAACCAAGACAGTAACACACAACCCCTGCCAGCAGAGCCCCTGGCTGTGTGCTCACCTCTGGGA